AGCCAGAGAGCTATGAAAAGAAGCCAGATGAAGAGCCTGCTGTAAGGCTCATCAAGAAGAAATACATCTCTGCACAGCTGAAGCAAAAGTGTATGGAGCTGACAAATGTTCATCAGTACAGATGCCCCCCTGGCAGCAAGAGTGAGCCACCAGCTCGTACCAGGGTAGATCCACCAGTGAACGGCACAGTTCTGCAGCGTGCTCGCTGTGTGATACATGCACTGTCTCGCGTAAATAATAATGGTACAAGACCACCACCTCATGAGCCGCAAGTTCCGGCATACAGTGATGCCCAGTCCTGCTGTCATACCACCCAACAAGAGCAAGCCTTACTACCACACAACCTACAATGAACCTCCAAGCAAGTCAGTGGTGTATGACATCATGGTGAAACTAGTGGAAGCCATGCGCAAGAAGAATATTCCATTCTCTTTTCTCGTTGGTGACTTGCCCACCTACAAGACAATCGTTCAGCTGAAGGCGGAGAATTCGGAAATGTACAAGGACCTCATCCCAATTCTTGGCGCTTTCCATCAGCAGATGTCCTACATCTATGCTATCTACAAGAGATTCAAGGGATCTGGCATGGCAGACACTCTGGTCACAGCAAGGGTAATAATGGAGGGGTCTGTTGAACAAGCACTACGAGGGAAGCACTACAGGCGGGGCGTGCAATGCATCCTGCTCTGGAGAGAGGTTCTGATCCAGCAACGACTGACAAATATTCTGGAGCATGAGGAATTATCAGAGAACATAAAGGAGAACCTCAACACTCTGCACAATGCACTCACTGACACTCGGGAGGCTCTACAGGCAGCTCACAGTAATCTTGAGGAGGATGATGGCATGAAGGAGCTGATCACCGGAGTTTATGAGAAACCTGGCACAGACATGGGAGACTTCTGGATCTCATTCATGGAGATGTCTGACCCTCTTGTACAAAATATTGATGCATGTCATGCAAGAAATGGCTCAGAGTACCTGTCATCAACATACAACATGTTGCCTGGACTGATGGCCCACGACAACCATGACTATGGGAGGTGGTTGCCAGATTATTGGGCAATGCTCTATTCGCTGACAGATGAGAAAATGGCCTTCTTCAACGATCATTTCACCCAGTCATTGACAGGGCTACCCTACTCCTGTCAGCTGATGGACCTTTGGGTAGAAACGACTATGAATCTGAACTCAAAGCTAAAGCAAGGATGGCTTCAGCTTCTACAGCATGAGAAGCAACTGTTCTCAACAACAAGGAATGCAAACAATGTTGCAAGGGTAAAGGCTGCTTTGAAGCGGAACCTCAAGTGCCAGCGCCGCCATATGAAGCATGTTGAATACCAGTCAGCGAGGATGAGGAAGGATGAGCAGGCAGTTCAGGACCTGCAGGCATGCATGAAGGATTTTGACGCTGAGCCCTTTTACATCTCCTCACCTAAACTGATAATTACAAGCGGAGAACGGAGTAACTCACAGCAGGCATAACAACAGCCGGTGTTTCTCGTGAGTGTTTTCCCCGGGAAATAATACAATACACACAAACACACACACACACACACACACATAGATACACTCGCGAGCTTCCCCCAGACCAGTAATCCAAACGAAAATATTTTCCCTCCGTACTACTTTGATCATTTGCTCCGCTAATAATCAATCAGATCGATGGATTCCAGAGAAGAGGAAACTTTGAAGGCCTTATTCTCAAAATGATGACTCGGTGACAGTCATTATATAATTTGACATATTTCGCTTAATATTTGGAGTACAACAACAATCCTGATATCATTGGAAAGCTAGGAATCTCCTCTTTCAAACAGTGTATACAACTCAAAATGTGTCTTCGGGTCAATGCGACTGATTTCGATGGAGCAGGTCACATTTGTGAGCATAGAGAGCTACGGTTTATTTCTCATCAGCCACAAATGTTGACCTTATTGACCTCTGAGATTACCTCTGTGTACTTACTTGTTGTTTTACTGTTTATAACTCAACTCAACATGAGCATAACTTTCATTAGAGCCTAATATGAAGGCTCTACGACAACGTTGAAAAATCGACATTTGGAGAAAAATTGGCGGCCATCTTGGATTTGAAGGTCAAAAATAGGTCAAATCATCAAAACAACATCAAATATGAATTCCTTGACCCAAAAAGTACCAGAAACCATGTATTGAACAACATTGTAGGCCAAATAATTGAAAAGCTCATTTTCAACCTACGGTGATGGATGGCAGCCATTTTGGATTTAGGCCTCAAAAAATATTGCCCGCATTTTTGCGAGGGGCATGGGGTCTCATTTTTTTTTTAAACCCTTCATAGGTGACAAATCCACTGAGAAACGAACCTCCGCTCTCCACGGTCACGGAATTGCTGGAGATGACCCAACTAGCAGGCCTACAACAAAAAACTAAGTACAGTCAACATGTCACATAATGAAATGTTAGTGTATATCCCAAAATTCAATGAAATATTAAATGAAATATTTATCACAAACGCCACCTCATATCTACTAGTGCTAGCAGTTAAGTCATATCATACAGAAAAAGCCTACTAAGGATGGCTGACACGGTCAGGTTCAGCAGATAAAAACCAAAATAACAATAAAAACACATAATCAATCTAAATCCTGCTTGTTAGTTACCCAGCATCATTGATATATAAGCTGCTAGCGATTCATTACTGAAATCTTACCTTCAAAGCTGACGAAGTCGCGCTAGCTAACTAGCAGGCAATGCTAGCAAAATGTGTTGTAACAACCAAGATAAAATATAGATAATTACGCTGTGCATATACAAATGAAGACCAGTATAAGCATCATAAAGGGCCTCTGATACAATATAGACAGTTGACAATTCAAAAGAGTTCGATATTTCAGCAACTTACCTCTGGAACTAATCGACGCGCCGAAATGTAAGTGAATGAGGTCCAACGCCCAAATGACAATATTCAGAACTATTTCGATGTCCATAACCCGGAAGTAGGCGCCGCCATTTTTTACAACGGAGGTCTATTGGAGTGTCGTAACTCTTAGTATCTCTAGGGCTCTGGGTTTGCTTTCACACGGGCAACAACTCAAAGGGACTATAAACTTTAAACACAGGTCATGTGCACGGAAATGCTGTTCAACTATTGGTCAGACATGAAGCGGGAAAAAACCACATGTAAACACGGAAATCGCGGCAATTTCTACCGTAGCCGCCACCATGGAGCATCCACAGATTGTTTTCATGCTGCTGTTCATATGGAGAGCATATCAACAGAATGTAGCGGGCGACGCATATCAATATATAATTAGACAACGTGCGTTAAAAAACGTTATAACCCATGCCTATAATGAGAGACGTTCAGCAGTCAGGAGGATGTTTCACCGACGACAGGTATCACTGATGACACTGTACCATGGCGTTTTTGCTGCACACATGCTTACCAGTGAGGTAAGCAGTCACAAAAGCAAATATAGAATAGGTTATGTTTATAGTTTTTCATATATCCGTCAATTAATACATCATTTGAGAAAGAATGGAAGCATAACCCTATAGGCTTCTGTATGCACACACCATATCTATATATAAAAAGATGCTAATAAAATAGCTAGATGGAATAGTTATGTTTACACATGTAACTGTATATATTTAAAGCACTTCATTGAACAATCACTTGAAAGTTGAACTGTGATAATTGCATGTCATTTTATAACCTTTTTCTGCTTTTATTGTAAGAAAGGTGCTATACAAATAATTAATAAAAGTTGTGTCTTTCTCCCCTTACCCCCCCTTTCTATCCAGGTGCCTGTGAGTTCAGTCCCGAAGCTCTCACTGGTGGCATGATGCAGTTGAGACCTGGACTGACAGGCAATGGCAGAAGAACTTCCGCATGAAAAGGACCACTTTCTTGCACTTATGTGACCTCCTGCGGCCAAGTCTAATAAGGAACAACACCCGCTACCGCCAACCGATCCCTGTGGAGCTGCGGGTTGCCATTTGTTTGTAGAGGCTGGCCACTAACCTGGAGTTCAGGTCCCTCTCCCACCTTTTTGGGATAGGAATATAAACAGCCTGTTTGATCACCCAAGAGGTAACAACGGCCATTAATAACACCATGGGTAAGATGTTAATTAAAGTTCCAACTGCAGCACAGCTGAGAGCCGTCATGCAAGCCTTCCGGGACAAATGGCACTTCCCACAAGTTGTTGGAGCTATTGATGGTACTCATATTGGGATCCTGGCTCAGAGTGACACCCCTGCCGACTATTATAACTGCAAAGGTTATAACTCCTCACTCTACCGTGACACATGATGAATTGGAAATGGGGGACCCTGATGTAAACAAGACGAAAGTCTTTCTCTGGTCTGCATCCCCTTAACAATTGTATGTTTTGAGCTGTACTGTACTGTACCCAATATACAAGCTGTTAATAAACGTTTCAATCAATCAATCAAACCGCCGTGCTCAAGCTGGAACCCTGTTGCCTGAGTGGACTGAAACATTCGAAGGGGTGGATGTGCCTCTTGTTATCCTGGGGGATTCCGCTTACCCTCTTCTCCCATGGCTCATGAAGCCCTATCCTACGGGAAGAGGCGTTACTGTTGAACAAGTCCAGTTCAACCACCGGCTTAGTCAGGCGAGGATGATAGTTGAGAGAGCATTTGGGAAACACAAGGGTAGGTGGAGGTGCCTGCTCAAAATAAATGACACACACGTCACTTTTGTCAGCAGAACAATAATGGATGGATCCATACATTGATGAGCAAGAGGCAGTTTTTGGAAGGGTTGGGAAGGCTGGTCAGGATGGAGCTGAGGATGCTGCAGCAGCACAGCAGAATAAGGCCCATGCTGGCCGAGACATTAGAAATTCTATGTGTGCCTATTTTGCCAGAATTTAGAAACAAGAGGAGGTTAGATAAAAAGAGGTGTCGAGATGAGAGGAGAAAGAAAGTAAGGAGGGGGAGGGAAGTGAGGAGGTGAGGTCGGAGGAGGACAGGTCAGGAAAGCAGGAGTGAAGGGATTTGGTTTATTTTGTTCAAGATTGCACTTACAGTATAACTTTGTTATTGTTCGATGTTTGTTACTTGTTTTAAATGATGTATAGATATTGTCACATAATATACTGCATAAGCATAATGTACAATGTGAAAGATACTGCATGTTCTGTAATGAATCTCCATTGACCTCATTAATGTGACACTCATTACAATAAAAGAAAGTACTTTGAGTTATTGGCCATACTTTTTTTTAACATACTGTAAACTCCACACAAATGTACTGTATCTAAAATACAATTTGTATTTGGAAGTGCACAAACATTTTGCTCCAAATGCAAGAAATATTTGGGGCCAAGTGCAAAAATGTCAGACTTTGCTACAGTATAAAAACAACTGCTATACTGCAAACAATACTACAAACAGGTAGTAAGATATGTAGCCAATCTTTGACACAAGATATCAAATATATCAAATATATATTTATACAAAAATAGGCACCCCATATTGAGGTAGAACAATGCATAATCATTAAATAATAAATACTTCTCAATTCAAAAAAGTAAAAAGGTGCACAGTCACAGTTTCAGTGCTTAGAGGTAACAGTTCAAAAGGCAGAATATTTCAATAACACATTTTTTTTAAGCAGCAGCTTTTCAACTTGGCACAACATTTAGCCACCTCACAATAGTTGCAAACTAGGACGAGTTGCGTTTCTACTCAGTTAAAGGACATTTTTGGAACATCATTTCCTTCTTTAACGGTTATAGTCAGAGGTATGATGTGTTGGCAGTCAGGCTCTTGGTTGACAGGTGGAGATGAGTGGGTAGAAGTGGCAGTAGGCATTGCTGATGGAGCAGGTATGGATGGTGGAGAGGGCCTGAAGAGTGGGTTATGTATGAAAGGAGGAGTGAGCATGGATGAGTTGTGGGGCATCGAATTTGGGGGCATAGCATGTTGTGTGGGCATCGGGGCCATAGCATGTTGTGTGGGCATCGGGGCCATGTTGTGTGGGCATCAGGGGCATGGAGTAGCCTATATATGCTGTGTGACCTTGCATTGACATCCAGTTGGGCATATGTGTTTGTGATGTTTGACATGACATGGTACTTATGACATTGCCAATAAGCTGCATGAACATTCTGTTGTTCTTCTGACTTTGCTTCTGCAAGGCCTTGAATCTCCGTTCTTCAGCTTCCTGTTGTGCCCGTAAAAACGTCTCAAAATGTGCTGACTCCTGCCTCTGGTGAGTCTGCTCAGCTTCCATCAGTGCATTCACCTCTCTCATTTGCTCAGCTATTACACTGAGAACTGTACTGGCCTGTCCAGTCTTTGCTTTTTCCCCCCTGGAATTAGCACCAGGAATAACCCATCTTGTTCCTGGCTGCTGACTCTGATCCTGGTCTGTGCTCTGCTCAGAGGGCTGTCCACTGTCATTGGGGTTGTCTCCAGCTCCAACTGTTAACAGTGAGATATTAGGATCATTATGTTCAGAGGATTCGTTAGTTGAGGAGTTAGGCATATGGCTGATGTAGGTAATGTTCATAAGATTTCATAATTACACTTCACACACTTTTCTAGTAATTATTTCATAAGCAGCTTTATAGCCTTCACAATGGCTTGCTTATTAATATGTATTTTTTTTATAGTGGGCTTACCAGTCAGCTCATCCCCCAAGTCAAAAGGACAGATAAAAAGGCCTGTACACCGGCAGCATAAATAACAGTTTACAGTAAACGTACCATTGTTATCAGAGTCCTCGGCATCCGCGGAGTAACTGCGGCTAGTATCCGCCTTAGCAGTCCCGGCATCGGCAGTGGAGCTTAGGCTCCCCTCGTCAGGTGACTTATCCACCTCTTCCTCCGCATAGGACTCGACCATATCTACGGGGCTCACTATGGGTCTTGTGTTCAAGATACTGTCGAGATCCTCATACCAAATAAATGCTTCTTTGATACTTGGGGAGCTGCCGCTCTTCTGCAGCGCGTCGCGCACTTTTATGTATTGTTGTCGTCGTGTTTTCACTTTTATACGACACTGTTCAACACTCCGGTTAAATCCAAGTTGCTTCAGTCTGTCGCTAAAGATTTTGAACACCTCCGCGTTTTTATGAACCTTCTCCAACAGTTGAGAAATGTTCTCCTCTGCCCAGATATTCAGAAGGCATCTGTGTTCCTCATAGCTCCACGGCCGCTCATTTTTCCACCATTTGCAATCCTCTCCTCCACAACAGGAAATGACGCGCAAATACTACGCTTCCTATGTTTTGGTTCGGACTGCGTTCACACCAGCAATGAACCGCTCCAGAGCAAGCAAGCTTTCTGAGACCACCTATTTTAGCGGACCAGAGTCCGGTTGTTTAGTTCACATCAGAGGTCTCGGATTGTGTTCACACCGACCCAAATGAACCGCACCAAGCGGCTAAACGCACCAGGGTTCGATTCAACCGGACTATACAAGCATACATGCCAACCATGGGCGTCGCCTGGGGTAGGGATGTTTTTTCTTTAGCCCCGGACAACTTCTCCCTCAATAATATAATACATTAACCTACTTTACCTATAGGACAGACGGCAGGAATGTCATTTCCCATGTTCAGTGAATGCAACACAGAGGCAAGACGACGCCACCAGACCAATCAGAGAGTTGCATGGACATAAACGTGTTTTATTGGCTGACAGGTACGTACCTCTCCTCTGTGACAATGTTTACACTTTAAACTGTCAGCCCCGGACGCGGAGATTCTGAAGATGGACATTAGACATTTCTTTAATAAAAAAGACGGCAATTCTCAAGTGGTGGCTCACACAACAACCCCAGAGCCACCACCTGAGCCAGGTGAACAAGGTATGTACCTGTCAGTAAACTTACAAGTTATGCGAACATGTAAGCAAAGCATAAATTATAGCTACGTTGACGTTACTTTGAATCGCGCGGGTAAGCTAAACCGTTAGCAAGTAGCTATAGCTAGCCAGATATATTAAATAAACACTTTGTCATACAATCTAAATGTTGTGTTTTTTAGCGTTTCTTGGTGATTTCAAAGAAAGCTCTCTGGGAAATGTTGACTTACTGTCTGTGTTCGACATGAAGCTAGAAGCTACCTTACAGTAGTACACAGTTGATCCTGATTCCTGAGTCCTGTCAGTTAAAGTGTTTCATAGTTAGCTTAGCTAAGCATCAACCTAGCACTGAAATATATATGGATGTTATGTGACAGTATTTCTGAGCAAAAGTCAGCTGAAATGGTGGCATAGTTGCCACTGCTTTACGTGTCGACAGCATGTTTGAACGTATTTGCAGCAGTAAATGTGGCTGTCTGGCCACTGACGTTGCCATAACAACACCTGAATTTAAATGTGCAACCTCTTTTTGTGACAGATTTTGCATGAAAATATAATTCTTCTGATTGATATTCCTATTGACAGCTAGTTTCTATGTGAACATTATGAGATGGACAGCCAGCTAACAAGCTTTTTATACAAATATTTCAGATCAAAGCTAATCCAGTGGGGCTCCTGAAAGGGAGCAAGGGACACTATGCTCCCAAATATTAAGCCTTGACCCGCATCTTAAAATGTATATGATCAAAAAATGATCTGCATTGTCGGAGGCCTTTTTTCCTCATTATCATGTCAAATTGTACAGCTTTCCTTAGTGTTGAATGCAGAAAGATGACTATATTAGAGTATTAAGTGAAAATGACTATATTAAAGTTTTAAGTAAATGTATTAAGTGAATTACTCAAACTGCATTTGTATAGGAATGATTCTGTCCTATTAGCAGATAACTACTCTTAACAGTGATATCTACAAGAGGTTTCCAATGTAAATCTAACTATTTTCAATTGGTTAGTATTACATTTTGTGAAAGTGTGGTGACACTCATTTTAATGAAGACAAATGTGTGTATCTTGAAATTCATTTATTTGACAGAGCTGGAAACGGATTGACTTACATACTTGTTTGTGTTTACCTACACAGTCATCACAGATGAGCCAAACAGAGTAGAGGATGAAGAAAGGAGAACAGGAGAAAGGGACACACAAGAAGGAGAAACAACAGACAAGAACGACAATGGAGACAACAATGAACAGGAACACCAGAACAGACAAGAGTCAATGGGTAACATGACTGATTTAGGGACTGCAGATACAGGGCCAAGGCAAGTGAGACATCACTGCTTTCCATTTGGCCAGCAAAAGAGATAATTTCAACCGCAAACAGCAAGAGATGAGGGATTATCATTTCCTCCTTCCATCCCTTTTTTCTGTTTAATCTGATTACTAACAACTTCTAATAATTTGACATAGTTTTATGATTTAATTGGAAAATGAAGTGTTTTTAAATAATAAACCCGTTTCTGATTCTTTGATTTCTTTTTGACATATGGGTGTTGAGAGATGTATCCATATCTCTTAATGTTGCTCTCAAAGTGCACAAGATTGATGCTTTTAACTTCAGTATTTAAAAAAAGTCTTCCTGGGGGACCCCAGAGGAGGTTAGTTCCCCCCAAAATAGCACTTTATCTCTGCTTAGGTAACTCCGGTGTAGTGTCCCCTCGTCAACAGATCACTCAGAGCTGGTGATTACTTTCCTGCATTTCAATGGACAGCATATAAAAAGGACACGTGAGCTGCATTGCTTAAGAGATCCTCTCATGCTATCTCTTTTACAAAATAAGTGTCCAGTCAACAACAAAACATCAGTGATCATATAGTGGTAGTATATTTTTCACAAGCAATGTGAAACATTAAACTTATACAAACTGGTGTACAAAACTCACATACCTGCGTTGATCTCCTGGAGTGTCTCTACTCTTTCTTCTCCACATCTCTTGTCCACCATCAGATTGCAAACATTTCAGAAACAGCTAGAGATAGGGGACAAACAACTTGTTCGCTGGGCATGTCAAAAACTTCCCTGCTTTGATCAAGACTTTAGGGAGCCTTTCAGCCCCTCTAGTAAAGGGACTGGAAAGCAAGCTTTGACAATTCAGTACCATCTGCATGCTGTCATGTTCCAGACACTGCTCTCAACCACTCAGGGCCTGCACAAATACCTGCAGAAAGAAACAATTGACTTGGTGCAGGCAGTAGATTACAAAACAGCAGTTGAGAACACACTGAAAAGTTACCGAAGTAACGAGAAAGCACATGAGGTCTATGACAAGACCAAGGCCCTGTGCAATGATATTGATATTCCCGAAACTGTGACACAGAGGAAGAAGCGTAGAAACATGGAAGACTTTGTAGTCAAGGCATCATGTGGAGCAATGTGAAACATTAAACATAAATAAACTGATGTACAAAACTCACATACCTGCATTTCAATGGACAGCATAAAAGGACACGTGAGCTGACAACCCAGGAGCACCGCGGAGGACCCGGAAGGGATCTCGGGCGGACGGCCCGGGGGCAAGGAGAGTAGTCGGCGGGACCTCCAACGAGACAGGACAAGGAGCTGGCAGGACCCCCGGCAGGAGAGTAGACGGCAGGACCTCCAACGAGACAGGACAAAGGGTTGGCAGGACCCCCGGCAGGAGAGTAGTCGGCGGGACCTCCAACGAGACAGGACAAGGAGCTGGCAGGACCCCCGGCAGGAGAGTAGACGGCGGGACCTCCAACGGGACAGACATACGATTGGTAGGACCCCCGGCAGAGGAGTAGTCGACGGGGCCTCCAACGGGACAGGACATGGAGTTGGCAGGACCCCCAGCGGAACCTCCAACGGACCTGGACATTGGGTAGGGACTTGAGACGTGACTCGAGAGGGGACTCGAGAGGAGACTCGAGAGGGGAACCAAGGGGGAACTCGAGAGGGGACTCAAGAGGAGACTCGAGAGGGGAACTAGAGAGGGAACTCCAGAGGGGACTAGAGGAGAGACTAGAGGAGGGACTAAAGGAGGAACTAGAGAGGGGACTCGAGGAGGGACTAGAGAGGGGACTAGAGGAGGGACTAAAGGAGGGACTAGAGCAGGGACTAAAGGAGGGACTAGAGGAGGGACTAGAGGAGGGACTGGAGGAGGGAACTCGAGAGGGAACTGGAGAGGGGACTCGAGAGGGGACTGGAGGGGTGACTCGAGAGGGGAACTAGAGAGGGAACTCCAGAGGGGACTAGAGGAGAGACTAGAGGGACTAAAGGAGGAACTAGAGGAGGAACTAGAGAGGGGACTCGAGGAGGGACTAGAGAGGGGACTAGAGGAGGGACTAAAGGAGGGACTAGAGCAGGGACTAAAGGAGGGACTAGAGGAGGGACTAGAGATGGGACTAGGGAATTGACTAGAGATGGAACTCGAGAGGTGACTCGAGAAGGGACTTGAGAGGTGACTCGAGAGGGGACTCGAGAGGGGACTGGAGGGGTGACTTGAGAGGAGACTCGAGAGGGGACTTGAGAAGGAACTTGAGATGGGACTCGACAGGGGACTCGAGAGGGGACTTGAGAGGGAACTGGAGAGGGGAATCGAGAGGGAACTGGAGATGGGACTAGAGAAGTGACTAGAGAAGGGACTTGGGAAGGGACTAGAGGGGGAACTCGAGAAGAGACTAGAGAGGGGACCAGAGATGGGACTATGGCAGCTGGGGCAAGAGCTGGGTCTGGAACTATGGCTGCGGGGGCCGGAATTGAAGCCAGAATCATGGCTGTAAGGTCCGGTTCTGGAGCCGGAAACATGGCTGTAAGGTCCGGTTCTGGAACCGGAAACATGGCTGTAAGGTCCGGTTCTGGAGCCGGAAACATGGCTGAATGGGCCGGCTCTGGAGCCGGAATTGAAGCCAGAATCATGGCTGTAAGGTCCGGTTCTGAAGCCGGAAACATGGCTGTAAGGTCCGGTTCTGGAGCCGGAAACATGGCTGTAAGGTCCGGTTCTGGAGCCGAATCCATGGCTGCTGGGGCCAGAACTGGGTCTGGAACCATGGCTGTGTGGGCCGGTTCTGTAGCCGGAACCATGGCTGCTCGGGCTGCTAGCCTGGCCTTGCGACGACTCCTCTTAGCAGCCGCCTGAATACTCCGTGGACCTCCATAAGCCAGCCGAGTTCCGGAATACAACTCCTGGACAGGAGCAGGAACTGGGGAAGAAGCACGGGTTGACTTCAGGCGGAATCCACCAAGGCGTATGGTGCCAGGGTTGGGAATTGGGAGACATGGAGTTAGCATGCCTGGGGCTAGCAGGCCGGGAATCACATGTTTCAAGGAAGTCCAAAATCCAGTCAGGTAAGAACTCCACAAAACATAGTTTCTCTGCTGCCAACCGGTGCGCCTCTACCAGAGCGGCCCTCTTCTGCCGAACACTGGACGCTCCCTTCCACCAATCG